ATGGGTTGCTCAGGGTAGGGCTTTGAGATGTGGCCTTTGCCTCACATCTCCCATTCTTATTATTCTGTAAATTCAGCTTTAACCTGAAGGTGTATATTTGAGTAGTTTAGGGTGATTAAGGGATTAACTTTTAAATGGGAATACTGTTGTGTGGGTCATGGGTTATGTCAATTATTGTTTATTATGAGTCATTATTGTTATTTAAGATAAGTGTTAATCACAGTTGTTTAAGATAAGAGTTAGTAGGTACTTGCTTTCACCTTTTATGTGTAAAACTGTGGTTTTGGAAATGGAAGAACAGAACAGTCTTGGAGAGACTACTCTCACTTTCTCCAGAATTGCTGACCTTGTCATCGTAAAGGTTGGTGGGCTTAGCCCAGTCTCTGCATATTGGCTGACAGTGACAGGCAGTCAGACCCTCTTTATGCATTTCAACTATCAATATTTTCAGCTTATAACAGTTTATGAGGACATGAGCCTCCTGTAAGTTCAGGATACACACCCACACACACATATTTATTTATTTTGTGGATTTATTAGGGGGACTGGCTCATGTAATTATGGAGACTGAAAAGTCCCACAGTAGGCCATCTGCGAGCTGAAGGAGCAAGAAAGCCAGTGGTGTAACTCTCAGTCTGAGACTGAAGACCTGAGATGGGGGGTGGGGGGGGCTGCCTGGGTACGTCCCAGACTCAAAGGCAGGAGCATGTAGAGTTCTGTGGGCGGGAGAAAATGTGTGTCCCAGGTCCAGGGTGGAGATAGTTTGTTGGGGTTGTGAGGCACGGACCTCAACCTGGTTTGAGAACCCACAAAGAAAACATCTGAGGAAAATACAACACTTTACATGAACTTGGACGTAGAGACTGAGAACGCCTGGAGAAGGCGACACTATCTGACGCGGTGGCAGACTGGGACGATGCAGCAAGTCTCTGGCTCCATCAGAAGGTTTTGATTGATTTCTAACACAAAGCATATATACAAAATAAAAAATGCCAGAAGATGGGGTTAAAAAACAAATCCCAAACCCCCGGAAAATTGGATAGGGGGAAATGCTGGGTAAACCGGAACATGAGTAGAGAGAGGGTC